TTTTTTGCTTTTAGTTTTACCGCTCTTCAACAGACCTGTCTGAAGTGGTACGAAAGATTGTTTCAGCCCATATAGCTCGATTGGTTCATCATGAAAGGTGAACCACGTCAAGTTAACAGCAACGATCGGGGTATATATATGGGTCATCCAGAAACGCCATAATATTAATGCATAAATATATATGCAATTAGTAGCAGTTTATCAGTCCGCTTAAAGAAAAGACATCTACATTATTTTTCCCACGTATTTTGTATGGTTTCATCAAAATAAGGTGTTTCTGTTTCTTAGAGTATATAGCCATCTAAATTATTTAATCATTAGTTTAAGTTTTTTTGAATTAAAATTTGACAATAAAAGTTACGTGTTATATATACCCTAAATACAATCAAGTAAGAATTGTTTACGCCTACTGGTTGTTTGTTAGCAAATGACCTTGGGACGGTCTATTGATTTGTTATTTGTGTTTCTCTATTCATTTCGGTTAAAAATAAAATTATATTATCAGCGGCGACAATTGACAATTTTATAGGGCGTATGATAAAATCCTTTCCTTTTATCTTTAAGTAACCCTAGAATTTTCGTTTCCTGATTTAGTTCGATAATATAAACATTATTCCTATGGTTCAATAAACATGACTACCTTTTAACTTATTAGTGTCATTGATTTTGCAGTATCCAAACATATTCTACAAAGTATAGATCCAGTTAGTTCTGCCATATTACTAGTTGATTTATAAAAACCTTATAAAACTTATTCATTTCCTAATTGCTTACTTGATAACTTATTCATTCTTTTAATGATTAAATGTTTATAGTTCAACTGTCGTCTTAAAATATGGAAATAGATCAGCATAGATCTTGAACAAGATTACAAACAATACTTTGAAATTCCATATCCTCATTTTCTTGACTTATAGGACAAATTTTATTTTTTACCAAAAAAATCATAAAGTTTATGAAGCAGTTATTACACTATGCTGAGGATTTTGTAATATATTCAATCACATATTCATAGAGAATTAAGATTTGTGGTTTTGTAGAGATTGTAGTAATTTCAATAGTTGACATCATGAGTCATTTGAAGCTAGATCACCATGGAAAACCTGAAAGCAATGGACGGCCGTTTCGTCCTGTTGTGGGACTCCTCAACATCGCGGGATTTGAACCCAGAACCTATCAGTCTCGCGCGCGAGCACTTAACCACTAGACCACTGAGCAGGCATCCAACGGTGTTAATGTCTAACTTCAACTAATCCACGAAATTGAGAGACATATCCACCATTATCATCAGTGAGTTACTATCTCATAACTCACCCGTTCGAACTCCATTGGTCACTGCTTCTCACTAGAACTTCAGAATATGCATCTTGAAGCTAGTCACTAATGAGCATATACCAAAATATCTACAGTAACATTCTAAATAATATTATTAATATGTTTGGGATACATTCACAGCGTATTATCTAGTTACTCCATGAGACTTGATTATTACGTTTTCCTCATATGCTTTTAGATAAAATCATTCCAAATACTAATATTTTAGTATGAAATAAATTGCTTTAATCTAAGACAAATATCAACCGAACACTACGTCTCATTTCAATAAGAATTCTAACCAGTAAAATTTCAAAAAAAAGGGATTGTTTAAAGTTAGACATTAACACTGTTGGATGCCTGCTCAATGGTCTAGTGGTTAAGCGCTCACACGCGAGAGTGATAGGTCCTGGGCTCGAACCTCACGACGGGGTCGGGGTCGTGGATGAGGATTGCTGAGGAGTATCACATTAGGACGAAATTGCCGTCTATTGCTTCCAGGTTTTCCATGGTGGTCTAGTTTCAATTGACTGATGATTTCAACTATTGAAAAAGGGATCTGTTGTAAGATTATGAAAAACATTATGTGAAAATTTCATTTGTTTTCATTTTTACTACTTTTTCTCTAAATTTCTAGTTTATTTTAAAAAAATTAACATTTTAATTTAATTTTATGATTGATTACTTCCGAAATGATTTATTTTATAATAGATTTTTTCCAAGGAACAACATTTTTTGTTATTTTAATGTTATTTAGTCATGCAAACAATAATTTTACATCATGTGTAAAATTTAACCTTTCTGAACTTGATCTAATTACAATTTTATGCATCATATATGATTTGAAATTATTGTTACATTTATCCTTAGTTTTAAATAACCATTATTATTACTTACCTACTTACTTACTTACGCCTGCTACTCCCAATGGAGCATAGGCCGCCGATCATCATTCTTTAACCCACTCTGTCCTGGGTCTTCTTTTCTAGTTCTATCCAAGTTTTGTTCATTTTTCTCATGTCTGTCTTCATTTCTCGATGTAATGTGTTTTTTGGTCTTCCTCTTTTTCTTTGGCCTTGAGGATTTCATGTGAGGGCTTGCCTTGTGAAGCAATCGGGTGTTTTCTTCAATGTGTGTCCTATCCACTTCCAGCGCTTCTTCCTGATTTCTTCCTCCGCTGGGATATTATTTATTATTAGTGACTTTATTCAGTATTATGTTTTTGATACAATACAAAATTTTCACTAGAATGTATTTCAAAAAATTTCCTTTTCTTATTACTTAATCGATCTTGACAATAAGTATTGAGGGATCACCAGTTAGATGTAAGCAATTTTAAGAATCAACATTTGAATAATTTTCATTTTTTTTTCAATGTATATTTCTAGTCATCATGAAGTCACTGATTGTACTACTTTATAAATTGTACAGTGAAAGATCGTAAACTTTTCATAGACGCACCATAATAGGTTATGCGATTAAAAAAACATAGGGATGTGTTAAAACCAACAAAAGAAACTGATAACTTGATGAAATATCTAAATGGCATGAACAGGTAGCCCAGATATTCAATCAGGCCACCTTGTTATATTATTTATGAAATTGAATTTTAGGTAAACAATCATGAAAGATAATAATTTTATTAACATTCGGTTTGGAAGTTAAAATATATTTCATTCTTGTATAGAAGATTTCTTTTAATCATAAGTTATGGTTTTATTATAAACCATAGTTATCCTGTTTTAAATTTTCTATATAAGTTTAAATGTTAGTAATGATTAAATTTTGTAATATTTTGTTACCCTTATTTTAATAAATCAAAAGTTGTAGTGGCTTTGCTTCGTTAAACAATCACCCTCGTAACCGTTTGAAATCAGAAGGCAAAGAGAAACGTCAACTACAATTTATTAGCCGATAGCTAAGACCACAAAGCTACAAGCACATCAAGCGAATTTCAAGCAGAGAGGCGAATATGTATATAAGAGCAAATGCGTAGGCAAATACATAGGTCAAGGAAAAGCTGATAGTAGGATTTGAGTACATATATACATGGGGAAGAGAATAAATCATCAAGTGATATTTAAGCGATCAACATTTTAGCTAAAGTCTGTCATGTGATCTAGTAATCATAACAGTACAAAGAAATTTGTGAATTGTTACTATTCAAATAGCATTGTCTGTCAAGTAGGTTAGTAAAAGGACTTAACCAAAATTAACCATAATCGAAATTGGTTGCAGGATAGTTGCTTTAATTATTTGAAGAAGTTTTACGAGATTGAAAAAGATATTATTTTCATGACTTGTGAATGATTATTTATTTCATAAAATTCTATTCTTTACTTCTTTTTTCATTCATTGTACTTGTGAAATTAGTTTATTAAGAATGTTTTATAAACTATTCATGTTTGGTAAAGATAGATTTTTCAATATCATATGAAAGATGTTCAATGTTTCTGAATAGATTAGATTTTAAAATATTTAAGGAGGTGAACTTTTATCATACACAGAAGAGAAATATTTCGTGGTTGTGTACTAGAAGCATTTAAATCATCCAGTATTTTTATCACAAGACAAATTAAATTTGAAGGTAAAAAAACACATAGTAATTTCAGTGGTTGAGATCATGAGTCAATTGAAGCTACACCACCATGGAAAACCTGGAAGCAATAGACGGCCATTTCGTCCTAATGTGATACTCCTCAGCAATGCTCATCCACGATCCCACCTCGTGAGATTCGAACCCAGAACCTATCAGTCTCGCGCGTGAGCGCTTAACCACTAGACCATTGGTCCGGCATTTAATGGTGTAAAAAAACTTAACCATTGATTGCCCGAAATGTTCATCTGAGTTATTTATATTACTGGGAGTTGTTATATTTCAAACTTTCAAAAATATCCACTTATAAATTTTACATTGTATTTTAGACACATAATGAATGTTATTCTAGAAAAATTCAAACCTCAAAACATTTTAGTTTAGTTTACTGAGTTGTGAATTGAAAAACAAAACGTTTATCATTCATTGACTAACAGTTACAGATACTAGGTAAGTTTCAATATACTTCCAATGAATGATTGATAATGATTCCATGATATTCATGACATAAAAACCATTTCTGTATCATCTATCAGATACATTTGAAATGGTAATTAAGTAACACACTAAAATACATTTTGACATTAACCTCCTTATTTTATACTGATTTTAAGCATGTTATTTATCATCTTCATTTCACACACAAACACAAAATCTAATTAATTTCTTACAAAATGACTTGTTCCTAAAAATTTAATCATTTTATAAGATTTGGAAAAATTTGTTTTTATTCTCTTCTTTTGTGGCGATATAAGGAGGTAAATTTGATTCAAAAAAAATCTGTGATGAATTCCCTGTGTGTTGACATTTCCATGAGTGATTATATTTTTTATTACATGTCAAGACAATAAGAAAGAAGAATTAAGGTCAACAAGCATGTTATGATAGAAAGATATAAGGCATGAAAGTGAACTATAATAGAAGTAATATAACAGATTTCAATATTGACCTTTACAATAAGTTGTGTTGGCAAACATGTTTCATAAGTTAAATTTTAAATAAAAACATTGGGTATGATTAATTTAAAATAGTTCACAAACTTGTTCTAAGAATGAATATTGTTTTTCTCATTTGAACTTTTTTTATTCAGCTGGAAGTTTAAGTGGAAGAGTAGTCGACCGAAAGAGTCTAACAATATCTCCTCAACCACCTAGAGGATTTATAATGGAGCATTTTTCCAGATCAGAGGAGAATATTGTCTATGAAACAGATAAACCACGAATAAAAGCCTCAAGTTATAATGCCATTGAACCTTCAAGTGCTGATTCAGCTTCTAGTGTTCTAGTAACAGGACCATTAAATGAAATTTCACAGATTCCAGAGAAAAATGAATTAAAAAGTCATGATCATGGTCATCATCATCACCATCATCATCATCACCACCATCACCATCATCATCATCGTCATAACAATCATGGTCATCATCGTAACCGAGGTCTAACGCATACAATGACACGTGTAGTAGAAAGTAGACGATATTTAATGTTCACAAAATCACTACCATTTTGGGTGAGTTAGTTTATACATTTGATAGTTCTGTGGTTATAATTTAAAGAGACTAATCAATGTGATGATTTACTTGTAATTCAAAATTTTTAAGACGTATCATTCATGAATCAAATGTAGTGCCTTTTTATTCTCGATTCTTTGCAATTAATTTCTGAACAAAGAAATGAATAAACAGTCTCAGTTTTATCAATAGCAACTATAATCTACATTTTTCTACTGTAGTTATCAAAATCATGAGATTCATCCCCTAGTTTTAATGTAGCTGTGGTGTATACTACTTGTGCTGATAGACATTAATATGTAGTTGCAATCCGATGTGGAATGCCTGGTGGCAAAAGATTAAATTGAAGAGGATAAGAAGGAAATCAAATAGCAATCGTAATAAAAACAGAATTAGGGGAATTATGGAGCAGATGAAGGACAACTCAGAGATGTGTAAATGATGTTTTCAATCATGATTTTTATATTTTACTACAGCGTTGTGTAATTTTGCTCTAAATAATAATTCGTTTTTTCCACATGAATTATCGTCCACTTCATAGCTATGAGACCTTAGCGACATAAACATTATTTTTTTCAGTCAAAGCAATTAAATTGAGCTAAGAATTTAAAAAAATTGTTAGCTAAAATCAAACTACAAGTAGGCTGATTTCTCGCTTTAACGTATGTATCATAAGATGCGTTCAAGAGTAGCAACTTTTAAAATCACCTAATGAATAATATCGAGCTTCGCTAGAGTGCAAAAACTTGATATGTCATATCAGTCAATGAATTTGTCAGTTCTCATGAAATCTAGTGATCAGCTATTACCAGCTCTAACGTAAGTTATCCATTCCTAAACACATAAACAAATATTTCTCCATTTGCTCAGTGATGTAGCTACTCAGTTGGCTAATTAATTGGTTCATCAGAAATGTGATAGTATCATCAACATTTTCATTGCATTGAATACTGAAATAATATACCGTATTATACATCTTAATAGACAACTCAATCAAATTATCATTATGTCAATCAATATTAAATTTTCATGACTTGGTTACAAACTGTTTTTTTACAGTTATACACATATCTTTCTAACGTTGTCAATTATAATACCATTAATTTTAGTCCAGAGAATCCCTATAATTATGTTTGTTTTTATAGTTTATTTTATTATAATAACTGATATATGTATGAATGATTCACACAACTTTTCATATTACTCTTGACAAAAACACACAAGAACAACTAGGACAGATAATAGTTCTTTTTCTTATAAGGCATAGTGTTTTATTGTTCTTTTCTTCTAACCATCACGGCAGCTGAATGACTGAAATACGTTTGAAACTTAAGTTGTTTTCTTTACGTTAACATAACAGCTAAATTGTGTTTGAGGAGACCACCAGCTTAAATTTCTTTACAAAATACTTTTCTCTTGATATCGGTTATCAGTTTCGTTCAAGAACTATTTATGTAAATAAACAATAGCCAGTGAAACAAGTATTGTGTCGCAACAATAGACCCCAGAAATATTGTTGTTATAGAATAGCTGTAAGTGATTCTATATTTATCTTACTGGTTAATCTAAGAAAGGTTCACTACACCGATTGATTAACATAACAGTAAGACTGAATAAAATATTGCATGTTGGACTTTGATCATTCCAGATTATCCTTACCGTTAAGTTTTAAATATCAAATTTATTACTGCATCAGTCTTCTTAGCCGATTGAACAGCAAACTAATAATATCGCATTGTCCATAAACGATAAATCCCACATGGTTACCAGTAAGACTCTACTTAGTTTCCAATCCCAAATCTAATATCCAAATGACCTTATAACCATCAAACATCTGAAATGCAAATACGCTGTGATTATCATAGTATTTCAGCCAAGTTCGCTTTAAGAACTCAGAAGCATTCCCATATTTATTAGAATGATATAGTCCCAAATTAGTTATCAAGATTAAATTGTTCTAAAGTCTAGTAGAGCTCAGAATAGTTTTAAAATATACTTTATAGTAACCTATAAAATGTGCTTACATGAAAATGTTGAATTCTCTGATGAAATTTACACACATCTACTACAAAACCACCAGATTTAATTACATTAATAGGGAACACATCGGGAAATAAATCAAGATAACATCTGATCAGTATTTCCGTTCATTTTGTTGTAAATTTAATTCTTTAAGAGCCGTTTTCAATTTGATGGGTTTGAGCTGATGGCAACAAAGTAGACATGATTAATTGTCAATTTAAGGGATTTATAATGTATAATAAAGAATTAATATTACAATCCATTGTAACTGAGATTAAATCTTATTATGACCACTAGTGATATACGCATGAGTAATAATAGTTATAGTCTTACTAATTTTATCAATAGTAAATATTTACTTAAAAAGATAAAATTTATGAGACAAAAAAAAACAATAATTTGTTTTGTTCAAACTCTAAGTCTGATAATACATCATGCTTTTACTCAATTGTCTTATTATTGGCTTTCTGGTAAGAATATTTTTAAGTACGTTCACCGTTTATAGCATTACATTTTTGGCTTCAACTTTAGTTAGCTGTACTTATGGTGCCAATTAACCTGGAATTATTACTAAATTCAAGTACTGGTTATGGGAGAGTGAAAGAGGGTTTGCATTACCAAGGGTGGCTATTAAAAGAGTAACCGTGAAAAAGGCGCATGTTACTAATGGTGAGGATTAAAAGGAGGAATAACACTTGTAATGGTGTGAGATATGTTCGATTTACCCTCCTGTCGTGAAGGACTGAGCTATCTACGTGGAACGACATATAGTTTGGATATACTCATCTGAATATGTTAAACTATGTTACGAAAATGTTATGATGCATTTAACATTTTTATCTATATTAAATTGACGCTATCGCTAATTGATGCTCTCTTTTGATGTGTTATATTCAGTCACGTAATATATTCTCGGGACTATTTTATTTTAATAGTCCTTTCAGGTTATCAGTGTGTTGATGTCAGGATTTTAAATATTTGTGTTGCTTACCAACTTACCCTTATTACCCCTCTTAGTCTGTCAAAAAATATATAGAGTTATACACAACTTCAAGAAATGAAACATCGTTGTGTGATGATCGGAAGTATAAGAAAAATAATAAGTTAAAATCAAACATGTAAACGATTATTGACCACTTAAGGAGTAAAAGAAAGATGAAGAATAAATTTAAAACATAAAGGCGGTAACAACAAATGACTAAAAATTAAAAGCATTAAAATAAGGTATCAACAACCGAGTGACTGTATGTGGAAAATAGTATTAGAGCATGACTCAAATATGACAACAGCTTGATGTGATGCTTTTACACATATAGCTCAGGTTTGAAGTGATGAACTGCAACCGCCTTTAGTGTGAAATCGTTTAAAAGATACTAGTGTGACGTTACTGGATTTATAATTAAGCAAATTAATTCGAAATAGACGTACGAGATAACATGATAGGGTGTTAGAATAATTATCTGTTATCAAATTCGACGAAGCACGGTAATTTTTTAAATTAGGGTCTTCATTAGACGTTCAGGAAATTACTTTTTTGATTGTTCGTAAGGAAGACGGACAGTGGGCGAATCTAACAGATTTCAAACCATGATAAATGTTATTCCCCCTTTCAATCCTGACCTTGATTAAAATGCGCTTCTTTCGTGGTCGCCCTTTTGATAGTTGTCTTTCTGCTCTCTCCCTTTTATATGGATATCTCTAGTTGTATAAACACTGCATAGCCTTGTTTAATATTGCATCACCTTAGTGTAAAACAGCTGACACAGAATATAAGGTGTCAAAATTAAGATGTTTGACGAAAATTTCCATCTATTTGATTTTTCATTCTTCTTGCCGAATAGTTTTATTGCAAACATTTCATTATAATATTGAACAACACCATCAGGTTCTTTTTCAAGTAAAAGTCTACTGAACACTAATAAAAGTAATCATGTCAGCTATAAATTTATCGTTCAGTACAAAAAAACAAATCAACGTGACCGAGAAGTATGAAGTGAACAACTGCATTTACATATTGTAAATAAATCGATGCTTTGATTTCAGTAATTGGTTGTTATCTATCAAAAGGCTTTATAAAAATAATATACTTTTCATGTACAAACTATGTATAGTTTACTATGTATATTTTACTATGTAACAGGTCTTTTTGTAACTGTTAATTCCACATACACAGAACATAAAGTCTTATTTTATAGGTACTTACAGCAAAAAATCAAAAACATCACATTCTTATTCACTCTCCAACTTTGCAATCAGGTTCAATCTGGTGTTTCTAGTAGACTATTTAATCTTCTGCGCTGGTAATATATATATATATATATATATATATATATATATATATATATTACAACTCAGTCACCAGATTCTTAGATGTGAGTCACACCCTATGTGTATGGGCTACTGCTGCACATATATGGGTGTGCGTGTATTTATGTGTCATCATCTCCTAACTATATGTTTAGAATGCAATGACTTGCGCATTTTATTTTTTTATAACTAGATTATCTGGTTAATATAAATATATATTTTGAGTGTGTTTAATTTGTTAGTATCTTTCATACCTAAAATCGTTAGATTACATTTTAACCAGAATATTTTTTTTGTATGTTCACAATTCACAAATATGCTTTATTGTTAAAGAAAATTGATATATTCTTTGCATAATAGCGGTAATTGGTTGATGCCATTTAAAAAGTGGGCGTATCATAGTTTATTGTACACAATATTATTGAATAAGATTCATAATACTTAGAATGTATCAATCATAATGAAGTAACTAAAACAAGAGATAAAAAATGAAGTGAATTCACTTTGTTTCGAAGGTTTGTTATATCTAAAAGAAACCTGCAATATACATTATTCATAATACGTTTAGAAAATTTGGTTTAGTTTAGTGAATCAAGAAGAGAACATACATTAGAACTAATAATTAATGAAAAGCCACCTACTTACTACTGATTAAGTAGAAAATTCGAGAGATTTTATAATCGAAACTAAAACATTATAATTTGTGTCAATCATTTTTATATAGTTTTTAGAATAGATAGATTGTGGTTAGCATCGGAATCCAAGAAGCACATATCGTTTTGTTTTAGATTTGTCAGTCGGATACTTTCTAGTGTGATATTCACGCTGGGACTCGAACAGAATGATTACATCGGAATAACATGAACAAGATCCACATATATTGACTATGACAGTTAAAACTCATATCTGAAGGCTAACTACAGGGTAATCCAAATCATAAATAATAGTGTTATAAACATTATACCCATCCGAACTTAATGATTTGGTGGTTAGAGTGTTGACATTTGAAGAGAAAGCTATTATGTTCTGGTTCCAAAGTGAATATCCACACAGGGATCCAAAAACATTCATTTAACGAACCCCAAATAAGACGGACCCCATGTTCAAGATTCTACTGCTAGCCACAATCAACTTATTTAAGAAGAAAAACAATCTTCGAAAAAATGGCAGCATCGAGATCATTCGCTCATGATGTAAATGTTTAAACTAGAATGGATAAGGATTGAGTTTCAAATATCCACCATAGGAAAAATCAGACTTTTCCTGATAATGATGTAAATAATAGTAAATTTGTAATACTTTATCAGAAATCAAATCAATTAAATTGTAATATGTTTACTAACATTATCAAGCTGGGTTTTTTATTTCTTCACTTTCATAACATCATTCAAATAAAATAAATGTAGAATAAGGATACCATGCATAAATGAGAGAGAGAGAGAAAAAAAGAAGGAAATAATTCTGGTTTCCAATTAATTTTCTATTTATTTTTTTAAGGTCATACAAATAAATTGAAACAATTTTAAAAATTTAGCACAAAATACAAAGTTGGATAATATTTAGATTTATTGATTTATTATTAATAATCAAATCAATTCAATGAATTCACTATATAGTTTAAAAAAATTATTTAACTATTTACCTTTTGGCTAAAAATATTGATTATATGAAGATAGATAATCATTATTATCAATTTTATACTCAAGAAGTTACTTAAATACCTTCTAAAACAGTAATATATCATTCCATAGAGTAGATTTATTTACTTTGATAATGTTTAGAAAAAATAAATTTAATTTAAGTAATTGTTTAACTAGTTATATACATAATGCTCTATGTGAATGATTGATACGATTTTATACTTATCTTCAATTAGATAATATTGAAAAATCAATCTATTAAATAGTACAGTTTCACTGCGTGGAATACGGTTATTTTTTTCCATGTATTAACTTGAAGAAAAGTAATTATTTCATTTATATTATATTGGTTGTTGACCTGAATTATTCATAGTGCAATGTATAATGTTCTAAAATAGGGATTTCTGATGAGAAATGTTATTTATAACATCATTTTAAAGCTTATTATATAATGTGAAGGAATAAAATGTATTCACTTTCTTGAACACTTGAGTGGTGTTAATCTGTAACACTTAGAAGAACTATTTGAACGCTATATATATGTAAAAGACTAACAGCGTAGTGAATAAGAACATCAGTGGGGACAATCGAATATATTTTGACACTAAATTACAGGACTTGTTAGTAAAATTTAACGATCATATAGTAAATGCTCAATTTGCAAAATGTCCATCAGTTGTCTTAAAATGACTCAGACATCATTTTTCTTGCATTTTCCTACTAATTGCATTCTGTTTCCATTCTTTACTGCTCGGTCCTCTTGTCTCTGGGCTACCAAACATTCTGTTCACGACTAACGTCATATACTACTTATGTTGATACAAGTAGCACACACCACTATAGTATTATGATTGATAATGTGTTGTTGTATGTATTTCACTTTTATTGATTTTATTCATTTCTTTTGAACATTTTGATAATATTATGTTCATCTCTATGTTAAAAATTCTGATAGCTTTTGTACTTAGATAGAAAGTGATAAGTAAATCTAAGCCAGATCCTGAATCATTGGGGAGGTAGTGGATCGAATTACGTTTTTTTAAAAAAAACAGATTAAATTTGACATTTTTAACGTTTAACAATCACTGAGATATTATTAATTACCCATTAGATAAATATTTTATTTAAAGGAACTTTGACGTATCTTTTCAACTCAGTATTATGGAGATTGTTCTTTGTATGTGGTAATACATTAAGATACTTGATATTATCTGTTTCATTGAGATGAGTCTAGAAAATTGTAATAATATTTTGTAAGATAAATGATCTGAGTATTATTATATGAAATATCCTTGTTTATTCATTTTTAAAAATAGATATGTGTAATCACATTAAATACAATAAAGTAAATTATTATGAAAAGAAATAAATTATGTGAAAGATATTCTTCCGTCTTTTGGTCAAATTAATCAACTTTGCACTCATATATATGTGGATTATTTTTTCTGGTTAGCGTTGTTTTAGGGGGTTAGTTTTCTACGGGAAGGGGTCGTTAACTTTATGCCCAAACCTCCTGCTTTGTTTGAGATTGGAACCGGCAGTAGCCCCAGAGGAGCTTCAAGTGGAGTTGTATATCTATAACTTCAGTAGATAAAATGTCCCTTAAAATGAAGTAATGTTCATTGTTAAATATAAGGCATAGTTGGGGTAGTAAAATTTAGGATATGTCTAATAAAGTAATAAATGACTAGTAATTAATGAGTACGTTTCATATAGGAATTCAAACTTTATACTTTGTGAACATGACGATGATAAACATTTATGCTGTTTTTTGTTAGTTTTTGGCAAAACTTAAAATGTCAAACATTAAACAGTAATTCTGCTTGCATTTGAATTCAACAATAAGTCTATGATGCATGGAATTATAAGCAGATTTTCCTCGATTGCCTAAATGTATGTGTGTACTCATTTTCAACATGTATGATACCTTATCTGTGATAAACTGATGTCTTGGACAATGATGAATTCTCTAAGTCTGACAGACGAAATTTCATGACAAGAACGTTGATTCACTTATTTACGTCATTTTCTTGATAGTTGTTTCAACTAAAAATAATCTTTAAAAAACAGGAAAAATAGTTTGTTCATGTTAAAAATAGCATATTTACATACAATTATCATGTATTATCATTTCACATGAAATAACGATCAGTTACTATATTCAAATCGATCCAATCAGGATTCAAGAAGCATTTTATGTACGTTTTGATAACTACATTTCAAAGTTGGGGGGTTTCTTACGATTTTTTAAATATTAGACAAACTTAATTCACAATAAACTCGAAAGAATATGAATGATAAACATTTGCTCTAGTTACAGTATTTTTAGCAATTGTACCCTGTTTTTCAGTGGAAGATTGATTTTTATCACTGTATGTTTCCTTCATTATAAATAGTTAATCAGTTTTAACTTGACATCGAATAGATTTCAGTTATTTCTAGTGTTTACTGCAATATTCCAACTACTATTGTGCAGATATGGATATGGTTATATAACTTTAAAGTTTTGTTAGGTTTGACCTAATCAGTAGATTCTTACTTCATATTTTACTTTATCCATACCTACATTTATTAGGCTACTGACCTTCAAGTTATTAGCTCAACCCGTCATATGGCTGCTAAGTTTCTTGACTTATATATCTAGATAGTTAATATTCAAAGCTTTTAGGATTTATCAGGTAATGGTAAACATATTATATGATTTAAACGAATAAATAGAATCTTGCATAATGATCAATTAACTGTGAACCTAAAGGAATTATTAGGTTTGGTTTAAAATCTTGGTTATTTCATCCATCAAATGGGGATACAATACAATCCATTAACATAAATAATGTAATAAGTATAGGTTTTTTCAATGAACCTTATGATGAAATAATTATGTTATAATATGTTATAATTCTTAAAGGGTTAAAACTGATGAGTTACTAATCGGATACTCACTCAATAAAAGTCAACTGACTGAGAAATTGAATTATGTTTTCGTAGTTTACTCAGATGTCATCCATTATAACATTAAATATATGGGATTTGTAATGATTATAAAATTCTGTTGATATCATTAAACTATCTCAGTGAGACAACTACTGGAAACCAGTAAGCATTGGACTTTGTTTCGTTCTATTATGAAACTCCACAGCAGTATGGTCCAAGAACTCACCACAGGGGATCGAACCCATAATCGTTGGCCTGGCGTGTGAGTACCTAACCTCTAGATCACTGAACCAGTATGCAGCAATTTAGATGTTTAACTTCAATCAATTTTTACGATAATACACAACCATTTCGTACCTGCCCCGCACTCGACAAGGCTAAATCCCTCTGGTCAACGCTTCTAACTGGAACTCCGAAAACTCACTCTCGAAATTAGTCATCAGTGAGTACATAATAGCCAACAGTATAGGGGACTAAACAGTTATTTAATAATTTCACTTTTCAAATAGTTGTCTAACCAACGTCGGTTTTTCGTCTTAGTAATATTAAAAAATTTGTTTTAAATTATAATAAAAACATTCCTCTGTTTAATTTATAGTATTAAAATAAAATTTTCTTATAATTTCCTTTTCTAACATATATAGTCTTTTTAATCTTTTATTCACATGTTTGATATTCAAAATATATTTACCCATTCATTGGTAATATATTTGTACAAAAATATATCTACATTCATGATTGAATATACTAACAAACGTACACAATCAACAATTTATAGTCAGCTAAACAATATATGGAAACACATGGAACAGGAATGGGTAAGAAATTATTGATTATGTAAATTAGATAATATTTCTGAAATTTATTTTCTTAAAACTAAAAGTTTTCTTCTAATATCTATTCAACTAAATAACTATTTGATTTATACAATGAGTATTTTATCAACAAATAGGAAATCAGTTACTATTGAATGATTATTATCTCAGTCATTGACTTGTTTCATTTTATCTATCAGTTTGTTTTTTTAATGTAATTTCTTTCAATGTAAACAAAATTAAGTGTTTGTTTGTTTCCTTATTTTTCTCATTTAAAGTGGATAGAATGAAAAGCTCAAATTTAGATGTATATACTACGTTAGCAAGCGATTATAGAGATTTCCATTACTTATCCTCAAGTGCATTTATATCTATGAATGCTTCAAATGGATCAAAATTGTTCATTTGTATTCAATTTTTACAACGTAAAATACATCCGTCATATAGCTTATTGTTTCTTTGAAAAGATATTAATTATCTACTAGAAACAATCAACTAAAATCTGTTGCTGTTTGGAGTTAGTTTAATAATACTTATTTTGACAAACCGTAGTGCCTTACAACAAAGTTGAATCCAGTATTACGATGAGATGGTGGTTGGAGGTAGTCGACAAAATACTTTGAACCAAGGTTTAGTGCTATTTGGAGCTCAACAGCAAGATGTGCCTGTTATGTTGAGGAAATTGATGCTTCCTGATAAAAACATTGTAAGGACAGCTCAATCCTTCAGGATGTTAATCGAGGCCCGTATAGCTCAGTGGTAACGTCACTAACTGTGAAGATGGGTGACACATGATTGGATCCGTCAGAGAGTATCAGTCCCCTCAAGATTACATGTACGCCCTGCTAACGAGTACCATATAGCACTAAACCTAGACTCAGGGTTTTATGTCAACTATCTTCAATCACCGTTTCATCTCAACATAGTACACAAGATATCAAGTCACCTAGACCAGTGGCCACATCTCGACCTGGTCAATAGAATTCAATCTGCACTAAGAAAAACTTGCTACACTTGACTATGATCATTACCCAGTGATCCAGTATTAGTTAAAGAAGCTAACCATGAAGTATATTTGCAATTGAAGGTTGATTATATTTTCACTTTTTTAATTCTTCTCACTTATGATTTAACTTACTGATGATTTATTATTATCAATGAATACTCATCCTTGATTCCGACTTTCTTAATATCACTTTTATCTACCAAAATAAAGTTTAGTAGTACTCTTCGTACTTATTGGTTTAGGTTCAAACTTTAATGTTTCAGTATAGAACTTGACTAATTTGCCAAGAATGTTACCTTCTAACTATTTCCTAAAATTTCCGATCTTAGATTTATTTTATAACCGAAGACGGTTTAGGATTCAAACGAATCATCATGTAGAATGAGCTTAAGTATTCCTTATTTTATAATAAATATACTTTGTTTTCTTATCTATCATTTAGTTGAAATATTTAATATGGACTTTCTATTCTAAACTAAAGGAATACTAACTTATTGATTTTTGATAAAATATTTTTTTGGTAATAATGGTCCTGTAATAAAACTAAAAAGTTATATGTTCTGACCTAGAGGTAGTTTATATTGTTTCCTATTAATAATTTCTGGTTTCTTACATGTAAACATCAACTGAAAGCTGTCCAAATTAAGTAGCAAATGCAATACTTCCAACTTTTTGGAAATGTCCGTCTTTAAACATAAATTGATATTTTTCAACATATAACAGTAACTAAAAGTGAAATATCTGCCAGCAGAAGATTAAATTGAAGAGAACAGGAAACGTAACAAAAAGCAATTGTAATAACAATAAAATAAAGAGAATCATGAAGCATGTAAAGGACAGCTGAATGAAGATGTACAAATAACGTATTTAATTCATGGTTTTCATATTTTGCGAGAGATATTATCATTAAAAAAACATCGGTAGTTTTAATTAAAAACATTTTTAAATGAATTGGTAATTTGAATACCATCAGATCAACTTTGATTATATTAATGAAATTTCAGCTTTGTTTTATTTCTCTACTAATGTGTAGTCATTTCCAGTCAATTGAAAATATTTCAATCTGTTTATTAATAAACTATGTTATAGTTAAGAACTATTTATTTATTTATTTATAGGTGAATCAGAAACTTATGCTATATTATTTCAACATACACCTTGTTATGATTTGGTTCCGGATAGTGCTAAACTTATTTTATTGGATAGTCAATTAACTGTAAGTTGATGTTATCTATAACATATTATTTACAAATAGTAATTTATACATTCACTATATATTACAAATGAAAAGTTTAATAATGGTCATATAAATTGTAGTTATGGATACTTTTGTTTCTGTTATGTTAATACACAACTTAATAGTTGAATTCATGAGTCAATTAAAGCTAGACCACCATGGAAAATCTAGAAGTACTGAACAGTGACGGGATTTCGTGGATTGGTTAAAATTAAACATTAACACCATTGGTTGTCAACTTAGTGGCCTAGAGGTTAAGCGATCGCGCGCTAGACCGACGGGTTATGGGTTAGCAACCCGCGGGTAGAATGGTGGATGCGCACTGTTGAGAAGTCCCATACTAGGACGAAATGGCCGATCAGTCCTTTCAGGTTTTCCATGGTGGTCTAGCTTTAATTGACTCATGAATTCAATTATTAAATTACTATAATATCCACAAAACCCCGTTCCGATTATAATACATAACTAACAATAATTGAATGGTAAGTAACTTTACAAAACTGTGTATAACATTAATATCATTTACTTAATCAATAAATCTTAACATTAAAAAAATTAATGCTTCTAGGAAATAATAAACAATATTAATATGATAAGTACATTTTTAACGAAGTGTACTATACTTTACAATTATTCATTTTCTAAATTAAATCTAAAATAGAAGTAAAAATTAATGAATATTCTTTTGAAGACTTAGTAATTTATAAATATCTGCAATTTATGTAACTAGTACATTTTGAATAGTTGTTAATATTTCTTAGTAATGTACTGTTTATTCTTTGTTTTCAATAAAGCAATTGCATCATCGTATCTTCGTACATAATGCATCATGCACAATAATTTTATTAGTTACTTTCAACTAAAATACTATGTTGAACGTAATAAATTATTATTAACTTACACAGAATTCTTTATCGAGGCAGGATACATATATGAGTGAGTTTGAAATCAAAGTGCGAACATCCTGTCTAGTGTATAGAGTTTTGATTGACTCTAAAACTGAAACAACTCTACGATGTATAGACTATCTCAATAACTTGTATAAATTGTCCGAAACGGATAAACGAAAATATCGATCACTCTGAATTGAAATATGTCGTGAGTCTTAATAAAAGAATAGTCTAAACACTTACTAATAGTGATATAAACATGATGCCCATTGAAAGATTTTATGGCTACCTGTACTCAGTTTCTTAGTGGATAACATCCATCTGATAAGTCCTAAATAAGACGAAATACTCTTCCTTGAGTTTACTGATAGCGATAATCTATCTATCCTAAAATAAAACTTTTATTTTTTTTGAAAAATTCATAACTGATTGTACTTTTTCGAAATCAAGAATATGCAAATCTTAAGAACTTCGAGATTGTTTCGCATCTTGTAGTATGACATATCCTTCCTCAGCAAACTAAGATTTTGAATTCAATCTAGTAAATTCGGGATGGAAGCAAAAAACCAAATTAATTTCACCATTCAGATCAGTATTCTAGGTCAGGTATTTCTAAATTATCGATTGTTCATCCCTGAAGTAAAATATGATAGTATTGCATATGATGCGTGTAGTTGTCGTTCAATAATAAAATGTCGTCAAAAGATTTGATTGTCTTTACGAAAAGAAACTCGTTAGTTCATAATTCAGACCTAGAAAATATCCAAATGTACGGTTCAGTTACCGATAATAGTCAATAGGAATGTTTATTTACTAGAGTAGTCACAGGTCTCATATATTCTCACAAAACAAATGCAGCACACAGATTTAACATAAAATTATCATCAACCTCAATTGTTTTTAATGAATTCATAAACAAAAAGGACATTGAAAATATCACTTAGTCTTGATTTGTATACAGAACAAATCATTACTCGAATAAAGCAAATGTTATTCTACCCCTTACTTGTCTTATTATCACGCTATTCGATATCACATTATTTGTTTTGATAACAATAAAGTGGAAACTTAACATACGGTCAAATTGTTTGAAATGTTTGGTTACAAGGTACATATTCTAGATAATATTTCTCACTATTTTCACATTGTATATAACGTTTGTGTATTCAATTTCTTGAAAAAAGCCCTTTTCTTCAAAATAAACAACATTTATTGAACTGTAATATGAAAATAAAACAATTTGTTTATATTCAACATTAAAGTGTACGCGTATTTAAATATAGTTTGACAATTTTTTTCCAGCACAGTCAATCGTCGAAAAAAAAAAACAAGCAAGAATAATATGTAGTTAACATTGTTTTTGAATTTACAATGATCTATGAAGATAGGATAGTTATTAATAAGATTACACTAATTCATAAGTGGATTAAAATCGTAATATGAACAATTAGATCAGCACTCAGTGAATAATACATATCGTGCTTGACGATTCAGAGTTTGATTCTGAGTAAATGTTGTACGTGTAAATTGTTTATGAATCAAAAAGTGTGATAAAACATTTAACCAATGATATTTAGTTAGTAATTTATTTGTACATGTTGAGTACTTCTCAGAACACATTAAAAATATTACAATAATTTTATTATAATTGAATTATAAAAATTCTAAGAAAAAAATTAAATAATGCATATCTACATAATATGCAATAAATGTTATGTACATTCTGATGTATAAGATTTGTAATATTCCATATTAAACAATAAATTGTAAACTTTTGATGAAGGTAACTGATTAATTAATTAGTATTATTTACAATTACTATTGAGACTAAACATAAACGATGAAAAATGTTGTTACTATATTTGAAAATTTGGAAATACATGAATTCATAGATTTAAACAGTTAGTACAGTTTTGAAATATCCCACCAGAAAAAAATCATGTAACATTCTGTTTATATATTATAGTCAAATAAAACAAACAGGTGCATTTGATTCTCATAGTAATTAAATGCAATTTTCTACACAAATGAACGAATAAAAAAAAGTAAATATGAACCTTTGATATTGTAAAAACTTTAACTTGCTTGTAAAGTTCTCAGAATGACAATCATTGTGCAAAATATTTATTTGTAGTATGATAGCGAATTAACTAAATGAACCCAAAAATCGATTTTCCAGTATATACACTAAAAACAATACATGTTTAAAAAAATGACAAAAAAAAAACAAAAAGGTAAAAAAAGTGTACTGCAAAAATGTATAGAATTTTAAAGGTCCGTGCTTGGATTAAAAATAAACTGAACCACCTAATATAGAACAAAAAATAAAATATAACGGTAATGGTGGTAGCTGACTTAATCTTCTTTGATTTTCTACTTACTGTTGATAAATATATTCCTGGCGAACTTTCTAAAGAAACCAGATTCTTCCATACAACACTAACTAATAGTGTATAATTGTACTTATTACGGTTATACTTCACCAACAACAAACAGTCCAACGAGTTACCTTTCTGGGATTCTTGTGCAAATCAAACTGACTTTGATCCTTAACTACCATCAGCTGGAGTACTTTACAAATTAGTAAACATTAATCTTAATTTGAAACACCTTAGAAATGGGCCTTCTCAACGCTAAGCCGAATCAAATCCCTGGCCTTTGGGTATTGTTGCGACCAATATTAACTTTCAAATACATTTAAAGTCATTAGTCTGTGTTATAAATTTTAGTAGAGCAATAACAAGACGGAATAGATCTGAAAAATATAATATATTTGTCTCATACATTTTGAACAATCTTTTCACAAATATACCTTTCAAGGCATCTCATTTTCAAATAAACTCGATCTTCTTATCGTTCTATCAAAATTTCATGGTTTTGTCAAATCTCAGTGGAAACTGTTTTTTAATAATAAATCATGTTATTAATAAGTAGCAAAGAAATAAACTGTATTTTTAAAATTTATCCATAATTTTATTTATTGATTGATTGTTTTATTCATCAGATAGGTAAGGCATTTAAGGCACTTATTTACAATGGTATACGTGCTGCTCCAGTGTGGAATTCGAAAAATCAAAATTTTATTTCAATGCTTACTGTAACTGATTTTGTACAAATGTTAAACTATTGTTGGAATCAAACTGTACCATCAAATATTGCTGAATTAAAGAATATACAAATTGATGATGTGGATCAAATAACAATACAGAAATGGAAAGGTAAGTTTATATCTATGAAATATCTTTTTTTTAAAATAATCTTGAGTAAAATGGAAATCTGTGAGAGTGATTACTGACGTCAACATGTAATAAACGAGATCTCAGGTGGAAACAAAATTGCAGGATATCTTGGTAAACTATAAGAACCATACACTAAATACTTCCTTTGTAAATCTTTCATTAATTATTCTTTTCATTCTGTCTGATTCTTCCAATTCACAATTCTTTTCTATCTTCCTTTCTATATTCTTCGAATCAATTTTTTTTAGCCTTACGCTGCCAGCTGTTCAAATTTTGGTTTGCGTTACAGTCTAGTTATGTCTGGCAATATAATTAACATACACCACAAATATATGTTAAAATGTTAGTCAGAAATATATATATATATATATATATATATATAAAGCACACGCTATCAGACTAGATAACTTTTATTGTAAATAAGAGATAGACTGATGCTGTCCAGCCCTAGTTTTAACTTTCTGTATCATTAGTTGTTCAGCATGATTCATTGTGTAATAAAAGATCTTAAAATTCTTTGACAGTTAACAAATAACGTGAATCGTATGATTTATGTATTATAATGTTAACTGTTTCTCATTTCCAGAACTGATTGTGCATACTACTGTTAACTCCAAACTTCAGATAAAATGACTCTCAGATGTGACCTATTTTACAATTAGCATTATAAAAGTTACGGGAGAATCATTGTATTTGTTGCTGGAACCTTACTAATACTCTTCTAGGTTTATTGTTTATAAATAATACATTTTCATTTCAGTAGTTAAAAGTATTTTATTTAAATCGGGTGTTAATGGTCACTATCTAACCGTTTTTATAAACGATCAGTATTGGAAATATATTTGTTTATGTATATTGAAGGTCTTATTTGCAAAGAAATATTTATCACTTCATAAAAGATTATGATAGATGTAAATCGCGTGCTATATCTACATGTGATAAACGTGATTTTGAAGTCATATTATGCTACAAATAACTTTATGAATCTACGTACACATAGCATTAGTTATGCCATTTTAACATTAAAATATTTACATATTATACCTTAAAAAATTAAATACTTTTTCAGTATTCGTTCTTGTTATTTAGTATACTTGAGGTGTAACCTCCGTTTTTAAACTTAAATGTTATTTATCAGTATCGAGTTGTGGAGATTATTGTGTTTCACTGAAATCATGAACCCACCAATGATAATTATCACATGTTCACTAATGAATAACTTCGAGAGAGAATTCTAAGAATTATGGTGTGAAGCCGTGACCTGTGGAGTTCGACTGTGTTGAGTGTTAGGCAATTACTCAACAAAACAATGCAACATGATCGAGCAATATCGTGGACTGATTGAAGTTGGACATTAACATCATTGGATACCGGATCAGTGGTGTAGAGTTTAAGCGTTTACGCACTCAAATCGAAGGTGCGGGATCATGGATGTGCAGTATTGGGAAGTTCCATACTAGGAAGAAATGAACGTTCAGTGCTTCCATGTTTTGAATGGTGTTCTAGAATTGATAGGTTCATGATTTCAGTTTGAAGGTATTTGTCTAATTTTATGAATCAAGTTGATTTGCATCTTATTTAAATTCAACCATTTAAAAGACTGTTTTATTTACTACCTTCTAACTGACAAACAAAATAGTGGATTGTTTTCTGGCAATATATCTCCATATAATGCCATTTTACAGGTTTCTTTATCGTTTCAATGACCATTATGCTACTCATATATAATATTATAATTTTTAATTACAAGAATCAAACTCAAAGTAGGCTGATATAAACAATTGGAAATGGACTGAAATCAGAACTGTAAGGCAGTGAATATTAGCTAACTGTTTAAATCATTGATGCGCTCACCACGAGAATCGAACGTTCCAAATTTAACGTCTCACTAGATGAAACTTCACATCTCATTCAAATTATGAAACTAATGTTTAATTATCCTTTGTTGATAACACTTTTTTAGTTAAAATCGACTCAAAATTAACTATCATAGATTTAACTATTCTCCATGAATTTCCTCTCTTAATTAAAACGATCATCAAGTTAAAACTCATAAATTCTACATAAGATTTTGTTTATACATGAAAAAAGAATTTCATATATATATATATATATATATATATATATATATATATATCATCCAAAGCCCTCAAATCTCCTGGTACGGCCAAGAGTGGGTAAAGTCAGCTCTCTCTCTCTCTTGAAATACTCCCACGTACATAAAACAACTGCCAGGGAATTCCTACTCACTGCCTTCTCATGACGGGGGTGTTGTTTACGAAATCGAGAGGACGAAAAGCCAATGTCCGGCTCTTTAATCGGGTTGGTGAACTAGCAGGATCCACCTAGCGTAGTTGGAAAACCCTCATTCCAAACCAATGGTGAACATGAGCTCCAGGATCTTGAAGGAACAAATGGCGTATAAACCAATTATTGGTCACCAGTTACCATGGGACTGCATCTCCTAATGTTGCTCCACTGCCTTGTGGATTAGATCTCTAGATCGAAGGCCCCAGGTGTGATCTCCTAAGAAAACCACCTGCCTTGGTTCGGGCATCTGGGCAGTATCCCACCACTCACACAAATCGAATGATTAATGTGGCGCATATCTATTTGGTGCCTTTTTGTACTGTATATGCTTTCAAATAAATAAATAAATATATCATCCAATAATTAATTCCCCAAGTATATCATATTTTTATTCAATTTAGTGTTTGTATGAGAAAATTGATTCGGATACCAGACACTTCGCTGATCATAACAATTCAAAACCATTTTATGACTTAATTTGTAAATTTCCTTTATATGTTTGTTTACAGTAGAGACAGTAATCAAATAGTGAATCAAAATTGCTGTAATTTTAAAAATTGAATTTACCAACTAATAAAGCTTAAAAATGTATCCACAGAACGTATGTAGAAAAATTTAGGCAAATCAAATCAAAAAATAATTTTCGGATAGATTGTCTGTTGAATGAATTTTTTGAAGATGTTATAAATTCATACATTTATCAAATCAGACAGTCTACACGTGTCTAGTATCTTCCAAACGATATGTGTTAGAGTTAATGGGGGTCTTGTTTATTTTACATAACACCATATACAAACGAGATTATAACTAAGTGAAATTGCTGAGATAATATGAAAATAAGTGATTGTGTAAATCGTTTTCTCAGTATATGGTTGCGGATATTGTTAAGTTTTTTTATTGAGATCATGGATTGATCAGTGTTAGACTACCAGTGAAAACCTGAAAGTACTGGACGGCCGTTTCGTCCTAATATGGGGCTCCTCAGCAGTGCGCGTCCACGGTCCCGCACACGTAATTCAAATCAAAGACCTTCGGTCTCGCGCGCGAACGCTTAACCTCAGGACCACTGAGCCGGCATACATCGATCGTTCAATGCCTCCAGATTTTCAATGATGGTCTGACATCGATCGACGCATGATTTAAATCCTTTAAGTTAACAAACAATATTTTTGAGATAATATTAAAGTATATTACTAGAAATTATAGAATATAATTTGTTTGAAATCTCTGGAATAGTATTAAGTAATTATGATTATCATCATTAATTACAATACTTGCGGTTTCATCAAGAAACATTACTCAATCTACAGTGTTATGCATAAACATCGACTGTCCTTAACCAGTTCAAATCATATTATTGATTAATACAGTTATTTATATTAGTTTTGATCTTCAGAAGATAATGGAAATTAATTATTTACATACAAATATCGAATGCAAAAAGCTTTAATAACCAACTATCGGTTTGTATGAGTGATAATAAATAAAAGAATAATCTTATAATCAGTTATTCACTCATTAATACTTTTTCAAGGCCATCCATGAGCGCTTATTTAAAATGGAAAATTTCAAATAAATTTTGTATTAATCATTGAAGTTAAAATGTCTGGAAACATATATATTTAAATAATAATATTTTTTAGATATGCTCATAGCTGACAGGACACATCGTTTATCATTACAAATTACGTCGTCTACTAGTAAAAATGTGGACAAATCAATGAATAAATCTCATACTAGTATTAATTTTACAACATCATGGCCACCGTCAATCAATACATCATCGTCATCATCGAGTTCACGTTTAGCATCTAGTAATGGTGACAGCGATAGTAATAGCGGTAGTAGTAATGACAGTGGAAGTGATAGCAGTAGTAGTAGTATCAGTAGTGGTAGTAGGAGAAGCAACAGCAGTCGTTCTAGTATAAAGTCATTATCCTCAGACCTTCCAGTAATACAATTATCATCTACCATGTCAAACCAAAATTTGTCTGACAATACAATGAAATGTACATTGGATGATACTGAAAACAATGTTGGCGATGTGGAAATGAGGACTCAAAGTGATAACACTTCTATCAATAAAAGCAACCAAACACTATGTTTTCTGAATAAACCAATACAGAATATTTTCCCTGCACGTTTATTTATCTGTGATCCAGAAGAATCTATTTTTAAAGCTTTACGATTATTGTTAAGATTTCGATTACATCATTTGCCAATTATGGATTCACCTTTCGATGGATGTGGTAATATACTGTATGTACTTACTCAACGTAAACTATTGATGTATATGTTTGAAAAATTAAATAAATTACCTCAACCAAGATTTTTACAAGTAAGTTATCATTTTTAATACTAGCGTTTTTTTATTCTTAAAGTTTAATTTCAATAATATGGCATAATTTCTAACCAATCAAAAGTTAATAACTAAAACTCTAAAGTGTATCAAGGTAGGTTCAAATTCAACCACATCCTAAATAGATCTTCATTGATTAAGAATGAAAATTTCAGAATTTAGATAAATGGTAACTTAATCAATAGATAACAAAATACACTTAGCACTTAAGTTTCCTCTCTTATTCCCCAAATATCTTAATTTTAAAAGTTAGTTACAGAACATAAAGTGTACGGATTAAAAGTATATTGCTTATCAACTAATTATCAGTTCATGTAAATGTTATAACTTGTAGCCTTATGCCCTATTAATATATGTAACGTAATGATACCGTGAATTAGGGAACAGTGAATTATCTACCGGACCAATGACGCATAAACCCGTATGAGAAGTCTTGAGTCCTTATCGGTCCTTCTTCCTGTCTAGCCCTGACTGTTAAGTCCAGAACACCAACCTCAGCCTCCGCGATAAGAATCATGTATTTCAAACATACTGGGTTTATATACGAACCAAACAGACCATATCGCACCATAAAATAGAAAAGAACATTCGTACAAGATCTAGACAAAAGTGGCTGTGAATATGGGAGACAGTAATTGATAGATTGGGCATAACTGAAGAATGGTAAATCGTATAATAATAGTCTATGGGTCAAAGTAAAACTTGTAATAAGAGGGGTATAGACATACACAATCTAGTTACTGAATAGTTATCCACTAAGAATATACGTATAATATGTGTCCATAAATAGTTCTCAAAAGTTACCATCCATAATTACCGCCGGGATATAACAATAAACCACGTTCCTTTTTACACTAAAGCTAAATGTGAATAATCATAATATCTTTCAATGAAATCAATCATCTGAGCAAATGTTGACTTTAAAAATTACTACCACTTTTTATTTTCTCCCAGTTAGTTAACAATTAACCAATAAACATATATCTTATCAATTAAGGTAGTTAAATGATGAATAGTTGAAAGCAAAAGGACGGTTTCTTGTATATTATATTCATTTTAAATAAAAAGTTAATTATTAGATGTGTTGATGCAGTAAAGTAATCTTTTGACACAACGTTTATAAATCTGTTCAAACGTAAATATACAAGTAAAGACAATTTAATCTAGAGGAAAGAATAGATTATTAAACTGTATTCATTCATGGTTTGAATAATTTCCTGTTTGTTTACTGAAGCGTGAAGATTGTTCTAATGGCAATCAATTTTCTGTTAAATACTTACACTTGATTGTTCTACTACTTAATTCTCATGCATTAATTAATCCGTTTTTCTAAAATTAAAACTCTCCTAACATTAATTGAACTTTCTGAACATTTACCCGGTTTATAAATGAAGTTTAGCATGGTTAATTACCTAAACAATATGTGATCACAAAACGTGACTATTATAGTGGGTATTCCTTAAATGACAACTTCTTAAAATAACTATTCCATATTTACTAAGTCGTTATGTGTATACATGGACTACTTAATGATAGCTGATTATTCATAGACATACACAGACATAGACATTCATACATTTTCAAAAACGTTTAACTAACTAAGAAGTACATCTTTTAAGAATACACTTTTTTTCTAGAAGATTACTGTATCTTTGCCTAATTGTATTTGATCAACATATTGATGATTTATTTGTCATGTGTATTTTGGCTCTATGGCTTCTTTTTCACTGAATAGATCAGTTATGAAACTTCTATAACCTTTCGTCAGAAAATCATCAACATAAATGTTTCCATCATCACAAAATTTAGTGTATGCTTATTACTAACCACTTAAAAAGCTTGCTACTGCTCCCACTCTGGTGTATGTAAACAGTCAATGCTTCATGGATACATCTCAATCCGTGAGAAAAACCACATGTAATATGTAGTATGCAAATAAATTCAAAAATTTTCTCATTTTGCTACAGTGGTTCTTCCGAAAAACGAAATGAATTACACAAAGCAATTATATATTTCTCCAGCTCTTACTATTATTTCATAGAGATCATGAACCGACCAATTCTAGAACACCATTCAAAACCTAGAAGCATCGAGGAGCCATTTCCATCCAGTACGGGACTGCTCAGCAGTGCGCACCTACGAACCCACACTCGGAAATAAAACCAAAGACTTTTGATCTAATTGCGCAATTGCTTAAACTCTACACCACTGATCCGGTATCCAATGATGTTAATGTCCAACTTCAATCAGTCCACGATATTGCTCGATCATGTTGCATTGTTTTGTTGAGTAATTGCCTAACACTCAACACAGTCGAACTCCACAGGTCACGGCTTCACACCATAATTCTTAGAATTCTCTCTCGAAGTTATTCACTAGTGAACACATGATGATATCTTTTTTATTATTTCATTTGTTCCTGTCGAACTATGTTCTTCTAGTTCGATATTTTACTATAATTTATACTCTTTTTTACTTTATTCTTATTACTTTTTTCTCTTTACGGTAATATGAATTGGAGGAACTGTGATTGATAGATAGTTTTGGTCACAATTCATAGTTTTATGGGAAATCGATTGAAATCACCATATGAATACCTACTAAAATCTCCACAAGTTGTAATAGTAAATAATTAACTATGTTGTCACATAAATGTAAATGATCTATTGAATATTCAAGGTTTTTCCTCACTACATTTTAAATCTCGATTGAAATGATAACTTAGAAAAGAATGGAAGCTGATTAAATAACTGTATTAGAGTTCATGATGATATAGTTTACATTACCTCATAGTAAGTGAATTTTTGGTAAGACTATAATTTATGGACGACCTTTGAGCGACGCTAAAGTGACCTTGGGAATGTTCGCCTCCTTACTAGGGCTAAATGATGGTTATAAAGCAGTATAAAGCGTAAAGATTATGGTTTACAAATGAAGGTTAGGGTTAGAAATTAGATTTGTGGTTTTCATCACGAATCGACATCAACTAAAATGCCAGGACGTTATTTAGATAATTGGGTGAATGAATTTCGCGACAAAATCCGAAACTTGTCATCCTAGATCTGATCGGTTCGTCCGTAAATTATAGTCTCACTGAATATTGCTTTAAGATATTTATAAAAATTGACTTAATTTCCGTATTGTTTCCTTTTCTTTTTTTAATTTAGTCAAGTTTAACAGATTTGAATATTGGAACGCATGGATCCATTTTATTGGTTACACCATCTACTCGTCTAGCTGATGCACTTTTATTATTTCGAGAGAATTGTGTGACTGCTTTACCAGTTGTAGATTCAATAACTAATCGTCGTTTAGTTAATATATTTTCAAAATTTGATGTATTCGTAAGTGTAACTTATTTATTTAATTTTTATGTGTTTAGACTTTACTGTTATAGTGTTAACAGTAATTATTCTGGACATTAATATACAGATTACCAGTATCAGTAAAGAAATATATACTTTTAGAGAACGATGACTTATTTTGTACACCATTGTGAAGAATGAATCAATCTTTGTAAAATTATTTTACTTTTTGCACACATTTTAAGCTTATGGACTTCTGATTTAGAGAGTGTTTCATAGATTACTTAATAAAGTCTTTATCAGGATTAAATCTTGTTATGGTGAAATAAGGATAAACATTTTGAAATATGAATAGATTCTTCACAGCAATGAATTTGTTTCACTCCAATAAATGAAATTCTAACGATTAATTAAAACCACCTAAAAGACTTTGTTCATTCTAATTATACATAATTTTCCGATATGAAAATTAATAATACATTTATATAAATATCATAAGCAACAATAAGCGGATAAGATTAAGTTAAAGAACAGAGCCATAGTTTAGTGAATAAAAACTTCATATCCTTACTAGATACAGTTTTTGGGAGCCTAAACAAAACGACTAAATAATTCGTCTACTTGGATCATTAAATTTTCAGTAACATACGTGTCATAAACCAGATGTTAATTTGTATCTGAAGAGATTTATTGATCACAATCCTGTAATATTGTTTTACCCCGACTATGCTATTTCGGCTCTTGTCTAGTATCTTAAGCTTCGACTAATTATATGTTTCCATTGGCAAAGTTCATTTCGAGTTCAGCTGAGAAAAATCTATGAAGCTAAAGAGTGGGAACGAAATAATCAGATTTAAGATGGTGATTCTGAAATCTGTTCCCGAAATTCATTCATCCATACGGCTAAATAGGATTCATGAATTATAACTGATGTTAGCTCGAGAAGATAACCAGTAAATGAGTGATAAACAGAAATATTGTAGACATTTAAAAGTTACACTTTTTCTTATAACTGACTTGTCTAAAAAACAATAAAAAAAAGAAACGTGTTAGCGTCACACGGAAATTCCAACTTCTCTAGCCAACAGTTGCCGTTTCGATTCCTTGACATTGACGTGAGAAGAGGAAATTCGACACGTAATGTAATAAAATAATCAAAAACGATTTATGAAAGTGATCACATGATTATCAGTAGCTAGTATATATATATATATATATATATATATATATATATATATATATATATACCTTCTCATGGCGGGAGTGTTGTTTACGAAATTGAGAGGACGAAAAGCCAATGTCCGGCTCTTTAATCGGGTTGGTGAGCTAGCAGGATCCACCTAGCGTAGTTGGAAAACCCTCATTCCAAACCAATGGTGAACATGAGCTCCAGGATCTTGAATCAGAGTGATCTTTGAGTTTTTTAACTTTGATATAACACCTGTTCACTCATCTGTAGTTGGTATTGGGAGTCAATGAAGGCAATCCCAGGGTGCACAGAAATGTCAATATTGATTTGGGTTTCACTTTTAGACAATTTCTCATGGTTAAAGAATTTGATTGTGTTCATTTCTATTTAAATATTTGCTTGGTTTTTTACAGACCCTTGTATTAAATGGAGCTTATAAAAATCCTAACTTGACCATTCGAGAAGTACTCGACATATGCAAGGTAAGTGATTTTCTACACAACTTATAAATTACTTCATAAACATCACAAAATCATATTATCAAAACAGATTAATTATAAAATTCATATATCTGATGGATTGAGAGGCAAAACAGGACATATTTTTGCCGATTAAAATGTTTAGTCCCGTGACCGGCAAAGAACGAATTCCCGATAAAAATGTTACCTAAGTGAATTAGCTGCTTACCTGTAAATGTGAACTCAAACGAGTAGAAAAAATGCTCGTCATGAAAACATGTTGTAGGTCATTGAGGCAGACAAACTGAAACTTTAAAGGCTAATCTAGAATGTTCATGGTTTATGAACTTATAAAATCCAAGGTAATATCGACTGCAAATTATAGCAGTAATTGATAACTAAATATCAAATGAAAACATACCATTTTCATCTCATCCTCATATAGAAGCATTAATATTTCAGTGTGTATATGTTATAAAATAAGCTTTAACGATCATTACTTTATGATTCTGTCTTACTTTAATTCATATCAGCCCTCATTAATTTCACTGCGTTTTTATTATGCTCATGAATTATATTTTAACTTAGAGCTACAAAAAGTACGAGTTTATACACAAGAAATACATGTTGATTTAAGTCATCATCAAGGTTCATATGCCGAATAGTTGCAAGTTTTGTATAATGTAGTTCTTAGTTTTATGTAATTTCTGTATACAACTTGTATATAAGTAACTGTGTGTTCTAAGGGTTAGATTGTCACTGAAACTGAACAGTGAAACATAGTTTGTGACTTCCAATTTCAATGTTTACAACGGCTGATGATAAACTACAAGTAAGTACTTATAATAGGTAAGTGATTTATACTTAACTACGTAAATCATGTTATTACAATTTATTACGTAGATTTCAAGGAAATACCAATTATACATACAATTTCTAACTATTTATTTTTATTTGCAGACAAATACTAAATCTATTGATGAGACACAAAGAAAACCACCTGTGGAAATATGTCTTGCATCAAACAACTTACTTTATGTAATGGAAAAATTAGTTAAAACAGGGGTAAGTTGTTAAAAAAAGACTGACACTACATCATTTCAGTATAATTAATTAGTTATCTATAATAAGAAAAATACAAATGTAAAAACTAGTTTACTTAATTATTTTCTTTTGAAACTACAATTATACCATAGAGAAAGACATTTATGAGGGTAAAATTGTATTATATATATTTGTATATATTGATCCATCTCAACATTATTGATTTTAAGTAGTAACAGTTTTTGATCTAAAATTCTACTCAGTCAATAACAGATAAATTAACAAGATTAATAAGGATTGACTATCTAACGAATATTTTTTCACAATATGATTACCGTTTTCCCAATTACTATATTTTAATTTCAATAGTTGAGATCATAAGTCAGTTGAAGCTAGACCATTGTTTTATAAGGTTTTATGAAAAAAAATTATGGTGACATAATTTGCGTGTATTTTAGATTAACTAAACTCGTGATCATATAAAGAGATAGAGAGAGAGAAAGTCATGTCTACTTGATAAACTTTATTCATTTTAATATAAATTTAATAAAATAAGGTTTATCAATAAATGATAACAAACAAATAAACAAACTATAATGAAGATGGATTGTTCCGAAGTAAATCATTGATATATAGAAAGAAATTGTTACATGAATTAGGGATGATCGTTTTTTATATGTATAGATATATGTATATACTTTAGTTAATTTCAATTATTTGTTTAAATTATTTGTCAGAGAATGGGAACTGAGTTTTTAAAAAAATTATTTTTTGTCAATTTTTCTTATCACTGAACATTGTGAAAGTCTTTAAGAATTTCATTCAACCAGATCCTTCGATAAATTTAAACTAAGTAAGAATAACAAGGTTTTTAAAATAAAATGAATTCATTCTGTAGTGAACAAGAACATCAGTGAAGATAATCAAATGTACTTGCACTCAAAAGTACAGAATATCTTAGTAACATCTGAGGACAAAAATATCAGTCAATCGTCTCACACTTCATTGTCCCCTCGTTTTCACACTAATCATTCTCGATTCTCGTTCTCTTGCTTTCGATGTTCTTAACCTTCTGCCACCAGGTATTTCACTTTCGGTTGATGATACATACTACTTATGTCTGTCGACATCAGTAGCAAACACCACAATTCTATTCCACAGCTTCTCATTAGCCTAAAATTACAATTATTAGTATAATTATAAACAAATGGTTAATATACATCAATTTGTAAAGTTTTACGCATCCATCTTAATTGCGTGTTGTAGTTATAAACTTTTTGTTCTATTTTCCTGATTATGATGAATATTGTTATTTTTCAAATATTTGTCTACAAACTCACAGACTAATTTGTATGAAATATTTGTTTATAATTATGTTAATCATTGTAATAGTAAACCGTATGGAGTTGATAAGAGGTTATGAATTAGCATGAATTCATTTCAATCTACAAACATTATTAACTTTTTTCCGATAGAACAATGAAAAGACGGAGTTGATCTGAAAAATGTAATGTATTTACGCTATACATTTGTAACAATTTGATATAGTGCAAATACATCACATTTTTTTGCAGATCAACTCCATTTTCTCATTATTCTATCGAAATTTATCAAAAGGACTAATTGCTTTAACTTTTTTTTGTTGAAAGATTATAAATTCATCTAAGATTAAATATTATCAGGTTTTAAGTTGAGTTAGATTGTTTAAGTTGATTAATTTAGTTGCAAAGTTTTCATTGTTATTCTGCATAGTAGTTTCAGTGCAAATAATTTAACTTTATTTTATCAAGTCTATAAAACAGTTTTATTTAACTTTTATAGAATTCTATTTAGCTTCATGATTTTCATTACTTATAATGAAACATTTTTATTTTACACATCACTTGAATGTATTATGAAAAGTGATGAACATTTATAGGTTAATTTAATAATTGAATTCATGAATTAATTGAAGCTAGACCATCATTGAAAAACCTGGAAGCATTGGACGGCTATTTCATCCTAGTATCGGACTAGTATAGTGGTCTAGCTTCAATTGACATATGATTTCAATTATTAAATTACTATAATCTCCACATTACCCTCCTTTGATTTATTGCTTAATTAGAGAATATCTCGAAGATATAAGTAAATGTATTTTATATTTACTAAATGATAATTATGCATAAATAACTTAATCATGTATAAAATAATAGTTATCACAAGTCCTATATAATGTTGAATAAATAAGAATACAGCTAACATATTATTGATATTATTTAGTATGAAGATTAGGATAAATTTCAGTTTTTAATTACTTCCTATGAATTTGTCTCTTATTTTTATTTTATATTTCAGTATCGTAGTCTTGTAATTGTGAATAATACAAATGATTATCGTGTAGATGGTATAATTAGTTTATCTGATGTATTACGTTTTACTGTTTTACAACAATTACGTATAACTTCATCAAGATCACAACCACCATCTGTAGCTGAAGTTGTTGATGAACGTGATGAATTGAATCAAGATGGAAAACAAAAGAAAAAGAAAAAGTTAAAAAAAGAAAAATCATTTGACACTAATCATTTACTATCAACTTGTTCGTCAGAAACAATTATAAAGAATAATAATAAAAGTTTGATTTCATCACATAATACACCAATCATATGTACATTGAATTCTACCCATTCTAATACTACAGTAAACACTATTATTACGACGAATACTACTAAAACTCCTATAACTGTAACAACAGTCACTGGAGGTGTTGGATCTAGCCCTGAGCATATAAATACTTCATCTAGTCATGCTACTAATGATAATGTGAAAATAAACAAATCTATTAAATCTACTAAATTATCTAAAAATCGATTGAATAAATCGAAAATTAATTCATTAAAATCTGACAATAACAATACTACTATTAATATTGATTTAACAACAAATAATAAGAGTAATAATAGTAATTTATGCTCTGATAAAATAATTCTATCAACAGTTGTATCAGAAAAAATTACCTAAATCATTTATTTATTTTTCTCTGATTGTTTATTGATTATATTAAGATAATGAAAAATTGAATTAAAGAAAGAATTCGCATTTCTTATCATCATCTAAACATTAACATAATAGAAAACCTATATATATATATATATATATATATTCTGAATGAAAAAATGATCAAGGATCAATGTAATCAAAGCTTTTTGTTATATAATTATGTATATATTCATATCACAGTAGTCTAAAACAAAAAAACATGTTTATAACAAGAAAAAAACCTTCTCTTCTTTTATAATCTTCTTCATCGGCTTTATTTCTTTACTATACAAAAACAAACAAACAAAAAATAGTAACGAATTCACTGAGTGGAAAAATCCATTTTATCTTTCAAAAATAACACATTTTTTATTATCAGGGATAATATTGGTCTAGTACACTTAACAAGGTTGGAGTTGTTGAGTATAACTATCAATTTTATTCAATATGTTTATTACTAAAATACTGATCATGATAATAATTGAATATCATCAACATTGTTATTGAAAATAATCTACTCAAGTCTTTCATGATTATGATCAGTTCAATATGTGTGCGTGTATGCCTAGTTGTTTCAATCATTATTTTGCACACAATAAATTTCAATGCGAAAAAATTAAAAGGAAATAAACAATCCATATACAAGCAGCATAGTGTTCAGGTCTTTACAAGAAGCAGATAGAGATAGACAGTCAGATAGAGATGAAGGGAAGAAGAGAAAATATTTCTATAGATAAGTGAAAACAAAATTATAACTTACTCCCCTTTCCATTTTATCGATTGTTTTTCTTTTCTCACTGCTTTTCGTTTGTTTGTTTTCTTCATCCCATCAACTATGCAATTTCTTTGTTGTTCTCTCAAAAATTCACGTCATCATTATTATCGCTTAACTCCTGCCTTCATTACTTGATCGTAATTCCTTACTGTTGTAGATGTTGTAATTGTTATTATCGTTATTATTATTATTATTGTTTTGAGGTTCTTTCAAATTCGGAAATCTTAAATCCTATGGTTCTTCAAAACAAGAGTTGTGTAATTTGTTTTTTTATCCGATTGTTCTTCCTGATTATTTTATTTTTTTGAGAAGGCTTTATTTCTTCAAATATATTTAATTCTGCATTGAGCATTTATAGTCATATATACGAGAACTAAAACATTTCAGTCAGTCAGTAACAAAGTAGAACTTCGTACATACGTACATCAGTTCAAGTTGCCATACCGCATTAACACAGAAATACAACTGTCGATTCAAATCCCATATTGATAGAGGTAGTAAAAGTATAAGCAGTAATTGGGAAGATTAGGGTTTGAAGATGTTATTCAAGGAGTATAATCCAGTGAAATAAATTTAGAGAGAGAGAGAAAAAAAGGGACATGAAGAATTCAGAAGATTAGAATTTGAGAGAACACAAAGATTGGATGCACCTGCGCCATTGCAAACGATTTTGAATTCAAAGGTAGATGTAACTATAGTTAAAAAATTAAAAATATGTTAAAATATGGTAATAATATAGTTTAAAAATTGACATCTACGACAGCCATTCACGACTAAGGATATAAGATTTATAAATAAAGAAAAACAACGTTAAACATGATTAGAACAACAATTTTTTTAGTTATTCAGATGGACAGTAACTTCCTGTTCCAGTGTTAGAAAATGAGTTCCCTATTCAGTGATAACAAATTAATTAATCGAAATGAATTTATTCACTGTTGTAGAGTCATTGATAGAAATAACTAGATGAATAGTAAAAGTGAACTTTTCTTAGTAAGAAAAAGGATCAAAGTATATCTCACTATTTCTGTCATCAGCAATTTTGTCGAATTCTGATGATCTGAAAATGTTTGAATATGAGGTTGGTGAATTTGTTAATTAAATGTAAACAATAACATTATAATTCACTTGATATTGTTTTATTTGAATCTTCGCATTGATGTTTAGGACTGAAATTGTTCAGTATGCACATATGCCAATAAGAGACTGAACAATTCCAGTCCTAAACATCAATGCGAAGATTCAAATAAAACAATATCAAGTGAATTAAACTTCACCCCATTGCACAAGCAAGTGGCTATCAGGACTCAGTAGATAAGTTGATAACGCGATGGCGTTTGAAGTGGACGGTACTAGCTTCGAGCCCCAGAGTGAACTTCAACTCTGAGATGCAGGTGCATCCAGCTGACGAGTCCCAAATAGGACGAAACGCGCGTCCTGGATTCCACTGCTAGCCACTATCCCTCTTTGCTTATAATAACATTATAGATACACTTAACTTACTACTGACTGAGTTATTTCAGTAAGATTTCCCAAATGTTTGACTAGACACAGAAATTATTGCAGATTACTCAATTCATATATTTTATGTCAATTTATTATAACATTAAATCAACATCATATTCTTTATCGAAATGTTTGTGAAGAGAATTTAGTACGATACTTCCTGAGATACCAAATAATTCAGAGATAAATTGATGTGTTGATGTATATCTAATTGTAATTAGGAATTTAAAATTACAACTTATATTTACCGTTTGATTATAGATAAATTGTGGTGCTGAACAAATGAAGTTGCTATGAGTCTACCTACATCATCTCTCTTATTCTATACACTTTATTAATAATATGAGTCTTATATGAAAATGTCTCTTTCAAAGAAATTTTTTTCAGATAAACGTATTCAAATGTCTAAAACATTTTTTAGCCAACTAACAATCATTTTATTAAATCAGACTGAGTGTTATTATTTGTGGTAATTATTTGAAAATAGATGAAGGGAGAATAAAGCAACTTTTACAGAATAATTATTGTAAGAAAAACAATATTTATGGATGAATTATCATAAGGAAAGGACAGTGGAAACTAAAAAAACTTCAACATATCTGCCTCTACAGTAACATAATATAAATGATATCTTGAAAAAGAAGTATAGAAGGTACTTGATTCCAAGAGTAATAATATTTTAATCGTTTAAATATCCCTATCATGTTAAAAGACTAGTATTTGAATAAATACTAGTATTAATATTTGTTTTATAACACCAGATTTAATCTGTAGAATTTTTAGTTAAAATCCATGTTGTTGTTACACAGACAATACAGATCATTCAGTAAAAAATGAAATTGAACTGAAACATTAATTTTGATAAAGTGATTAGCTATCTCTATTTACTCATCTCTAATCAGAGCGTAATTTTGATGACAACAACAACAGAAGCAGGGATTCCAGATACATGAAGCGTGAATCGAGATGGTTCTTTATTTTGATGTGGTGAGGTCAAATGAATGACACTACTCGGATCCTGTGTGCACGTTTCGGAGACGCAGCACACATCGATGGCTCGAGATTCTAAAGTCCTAGCGAAGGAAGCCTGTTATCCTATTTGGCACAGTGTTCGGACGTTGAAAGCTCCTACATGTAGTTTACAGCGTGGTTTCAGGAGACCGGGAATAACGTTCTGTGTACTCAAATATATGATAAATTTAAAAGCATTTGATATTTCATATATACTGAACTTTGAATATATTTCACTACTTAAATTTATTAAACATACTGAAGAATATGCTCAATACTATGGCTTATATAAATCCTACTATATAGACTGTTAAACTCATTTGTGAATGATAATAACTTGAAATTATCTAGAGAGTTCATTGTTCTTGGGTCACTCACTGTTTAACAATTAAACCAAATGACCAAAAGATTGATTATATTTTACGGTCATTTATTCAAGTTGAATTATTAATTACAAACTCTTGTTTGTTGATCATACCAGTCATTATCCTTTTCCTACTTTTTTATGTATTTGATAATAAGTTGTAATTATCACCTACTGTTTCCATTTTCGTCAGTAAAATAAAAATAATAACCTCCTGCCATAATTTTCACCTAGAAACTACTTTACCTATCTACATATTCATATTACCCTTTAGATCATCACATAATATTGTTATAATGAAAGTTTTCAAACACTTAATGACGCCACTTATTATACAATAAACCGTTGTATATGTTAATTAACTTAACATGAAGGTAAGAAGTAGGCGATGATATCAGAAAATATTTTATTTTACGAAACTAAGCTTTTTGTTTTGTCTTTTTTTTTCTCAATGATGCTATGGATTTCTCTCGTCATATTCCCTTCATATTTGTTAGAATGAAAATGACAAAAAAATAATAACCTATTTGTAATATTCCAGGGGGGTGGAAAATTGAATGTCTGACGTTTCATAGTTTAGTGACGATTACTTCTTCAGAGAATAAATACGTAAACTGCAAAGGCTGAAAATTATCAGTGAAAAAGAAAGTCTAATTTTTGGACGAAGAATATTCTTTTCGATAAATTCTCTTCAGGTTCTACAATTTATATCTAAATTAATAATCCGAAAAATGGCCAGGTTAGGGGAAAAGTACATCGTTTAAAGTTAAAGCAATTGAATTTAGGATTGTCAAACAAAATAGAATAAAATTGTTCATTTTGATATGATTCATATAGAATGTTAACTTAAATCTGCAAATATATGAAACGAAATTTAAGAACCATGATCAGAATAAATATGGGTCAGATAGGGTGAGAGAAATAATAGTGATATTACAATTCGGTCAAATGTTTAGTGAAAGTTTCGATAATGCAATGAGAAGACGAAGTTTATCAGAATTATGTGATATATTAGCGCAATACATTTCGAACAATCTGATCACATATATTTGTTAAGAACATTTATATATGAAAAAGGTCAGCTGGACAGGTTAAGTCATAACATAGGAAAAAAGTGTTAAAGTACAAAAAAAACAAATGTGATTACCACTCTGGATAATAAAACAGTATTACCAGGGTAGGTTAAGTGTAAGGACAAATTGTTTTTGAACACATAAAGGGGGTTTCAGTTTCCGTATAGCCAAGGCTTCAATAAACCTTAGTATACGTCCTTGAAGACTTTTGTATAACACTACAAATGCTGATTTGATGTCGACCTTATGACCCATCTCAATCAAATGTTTCGGAATGGAGGATGATGTCTGTCCATCCTGTGATCTTATTTGACCATTGGAATCTATTTGTTTTTGCAACCATTTTGGTATGTGTTCACCCACCCTTAATTGCAAATCACGATTGCTCCTCCCTATGTACGTATTTCCACACATACATGTAAATTGATACACAATGGGATGTGACACAATCGCTGTTTGTGATTTTGGTGAAACATAGACCTTGTCTTTTCAGTGATGACAAATTGGACTGCATAAAATGTCCGGTTGATAGCTAATTTAAGTCTCCGTTTCAACATGAGACTATTTGTGTCGCCCCTGAATGGTAACGTAATATAAACTCGCTTTTTGGGTGCCAGAAGCGTCATAGGTCTAATTGTATTGAAACCCTTCCAGCGGCTTATAAACTTCAAGAAATAACCATTATTCACTAACGTATCAGTCAAGAGCTTCATCTCGACTTCAATAGTATCACTAGTACAAATACGATTGATTCTATTGAATAAGCTCTTTATTAAACCGCGTTTGTAATGAATAGGGCAGTGACTATGAAAATTAAGATATTGCCCTGTCAATGTTGGCTTTCTGTATATAGCACGTTGGATGGAACCATCATCGCTCCTACTGATCAGGATGTCTAGAAAAGAAAGTTTGTTGTTCTTCTCTTCTTCACATGTAAGAGAAATGTGGTTTTGACTTGTATTGACTTCTTTTAACAAGCGGTTTATGTCTTCACCTTTATCCCCTATGATTATTATATTATAGCAACTAACGTTCAGTTGAGTTTGCCCTCATCTAATTCGTTTAAGCCCTTTTGTTAACCTAGTAAACGGACAAGGTTATCTGTACTTTAACAACTTATTCTATCTTTATATTTGTTATGCTTGTATGAATAAGCATGCTTGAACACTGTTGACTGCCCACGCATATATTCATCCCACTAACCTTATTATTATTCGCTTAATCGATTCGATAGTCCATTCACTTTTCTATATATATACATGTATATTTAACACTACACATTTTTCCACACATTCTCACACAATCACGGTTTGCTGACTCATTCGCCTCTCTGCTCTGTGGTTTGAGTTGCCTGCTAATAAAACTGTAGTAGCTGCTTCTCTTTGCCTTCTGA